TTTGGTTTTGTTCTGAAAAAGCAGCAATTATATTTGAAAATTCAATTTTCTTGCAATACCACAATTTATAATCAGCATAGCGAGTCCATTTAACTATTTATTTTGTTTTGGTGTGCAATCTACTTTAAAATTAACATCATAGATTCTTTTAAGAAATAAAATCTCATTCTCAAGTTCTTGCAAGATTTCTTTGTCATACTTGTGCTGAAAATGTTGAAAATTTATTAACTTAACTCAATTGAGATAAGTTAAATCTTTTAATTAGAAATTTAGAATATTTTCATGTCTATTTTTTAAGACACCGAAAAAATTGAAGGCTCAGGTCATATGACCCATGTGGCTTAAACTCTGGTAGGGGCTGGTTGTAGACCTATAGTTTAACAGATAGAATCTTACTACAGAACATTTTTTAGGTATAAAAAGTCTGTTTGGTGTATAAAATTAGTATCAAATTAAAAATGCAAAAAATTCAGATGAAATATCCTCTGGGTTAACAAAATATATAAAAAATATATAAAAAAATATTGGTAAAAATCATGCAGAAGTTTGATTTTTATCACAGACCATTAAAAAATGTGTTATTTTAAAAACGTGTTATTTTAAACCTAGATTTCCCCCTCTTAAAAAAAGTAAAATTAAAAAAATTTTAAACAACCTTTTATAATCAGGAACTATTAAATTCCATAAAAAAGTATTTAAAAAAATTAAAGCCAAAATTGAAAAAAAGAAATATAAGTAAAATTGTATTTTTATTTAGTGACGCAAAGTGTTATTATTTGGGCTGCTTTAATTTTAATGGAGTAGTTGTATAGCATTTATACAGGTTAAACCAACCTAGACAACACAACTAGAGAACTGTTTTTTTTATTCTTATTTTCTATATTTCTTTTATTTTTATTTTTACGTACACTGAATCAATTGAAAAATTAAGATATTCTAAGATTGCTTCTTTTTCATTTTTTTTAAGCTTTCTATATTTCATCATAATTTTGTTAACTTCAAGCTTTTATAATATAAAAACCAATTAGTGAGAAATATAAAGCAGAAAAAGATTAGGTATAAACAAAATTTTGAGAAACTTAGGCTGAGATATTTTATAACATTGAGAAACTTGCAACAAATAAACATAAAAAAATTAATGATTGAACATATTAATTGGATTGTGTTAAAGATTGGTATGCTTAATGATTTTTAACTAAATAAATATATATAAAAAGTTAATATATGTCATAAATGTAAAACCATTCACATAACTGAAAAATATCTAATAATTATCTAATAATTATCTAATAATTTCATGGGAAATTTCAACTAGAGCTGCTTTTACATTAGCTACCGTAAAATGGGGTGACTTTGGCCCAACTTTTAAATTTATAAGGCTTAAAAAACTTGTTCAACTCAAAGAAATAAGATTTGATAAATGAATCAAACCACATTTTGCATGGTACTAGTATACCTTTATCTATTTAAGGTGCAGGGGTTTATATGAAAGAACAGATGTTGTTAAACTCTAAAACGAGAAATGGGCAAAAAAATAAAATGTTATTTTATGTTTACATCTGTTGTAAAAAAAAATATAAAATTATAAAAATTTTTATATCAGGAAACTAAAAACTTGCAACTGTGAAATTGCAAGAAAGTAGGGAAGGACATTCAAGAAAAAATCTGGTATTAAGAGTCCTAAAACTGCAGTTATTCATCTGAGGTGTAGTTCTTGCCTGAGTAAAGTTAAAATAGGATTGCATCATAAATGCAATCCAACAATGCTCAGGTAGAAAATGTATATATAACTTTGAATAATTGGCTGTGAAAAGTTGTATAATATATTATATAGAAAACAAGTTTTGTGTCAATTTATTTTTTAGAAATAACATATTAGCTGCATTAGGATATCAAGGTATTAGAAAGCCGTATTATTTTGCATCACTGATAGAGAGATAAGCGAAAGAAATGTAAAGAGCTTCCCTTTCCTAATAAATCTTTCTTAAAATGATAATTTTAATTTAAAAAAACCTTTGCAACTATTTGAACATGTAACCTTTTCAACAATGTAAAGTTGAAAATGTTTTTCCATCAGAATCAAATGTTTCTCCATAGTTTTCTTAACTAAGATGTCAAGGAACAAATGGCTTCTCACGTTATTAAAGAAAAGTTATGTAGTGAAAGTGCTGACACCATTTTGCTAAAGACAGGAGGTAGTAAACAAAAATTTTCTATTGGATCCGGGAATACTACATAAGCAACCAATTTTACTCAGAAAAATCTTCTTTGTATTCAGAATTTTCTTTCCTTAAGTAATCATCAAATGATAAAACTTGCTAATATGATGATGTAAAATCATCATATTAGCAAGTTTTATCATTTTTTTATCAAGATGAGGTAAAATCACAATACTAATACAAATTTAATTCTGCAAAATGAAATAATGCAATTAAAAAAAAATTAATAATTACAGAAATATTGAAAAAAGACAAAACGCTGTATAATTTGGACTGTGTCTCTGATTTCAACTATTAACCTAAGAAAATATTTTATTTGAATTTAAAAACAAAAATAAAACTTTAAAATATAAGAATATAGTTTAAATACAGTTGCGTATTGCAATGATGTAACTGTTTTTGTTAAACTACTCCTGGGTCCTGAATGTGTAGATTCTAAAAATCAGTTGTTTAAAATTACTGTTGACAGGGGACAAGTGGTTTTATTAAATTTTGCCGAAATATACTTGATCTCAATGAAATTTTAGAGAATTACTGAAAAGTTGACGTAGATTATCTTAAAACAAAACCCGCAACAGCTTGCAGATTTTTACATGAAAGTGTAATAAAAATAAAAAAATTTAAAGATTCATCAGTAAATGCTTCATTTCTTCTACTCGTAGCTCCGGAAATCCCAGAAAGATATAAAAATTTTATATCCTGTTCAATCATGTATCTGAATTCTGTCAAACAAAAAAAATTGGCCTTGGAGTTTATTTAGAGCAATCTGGAGAAAGTTTTCACTACCTCTTCAATACTGTCTCTTGGAACTGCAACAAAGTGTCCGCTTATAATTGTAAATATGGAAATAATTTAGTTAGGGCATTATGTTTTTATAATGCAAAACATCTTGTTTCTTTTGGTAATGTTGATCTAAATGTTGATATTTTTTAGTAATTCAAATCATGAATAAATCATTTTTAATTTTATTTTTGTAAATATATGTTAATTTGATTTATGTTCATTTGATGATTTAAAACATGTAATTATCCACTCTTTATCAATATGATAAAACAAAATACCTTCTTATTAATTTCCAATAAATTGTATGTAACTTTTAACTGAAATTGACAATAAAACTTTGAATGAAGACATGGAGGAGCAAAAAATGGTGCTAAAAAAAGGTACCAAAAAATCTTAAAAATACTATAATTACTCAAAAGGAGTTTTTTGATTTGGTGGACTATATACATAGTGATAAGTAAATTATTTATTAGGGTTCGGAAAAATTTGTATGTGCAGATATTTGCTAATAAATTATGCGCATAATTATGCACATAACTTTTTTTCAATTTCAAATCATTAAAAACCGTTCAATTGTTTTAATTAGACAAACAGACCAAAAAACGAATTTTAATTTTAGTTTTCATTAAATTTTTAATTAATGTGCTTTTGAAAAGAAAAACTCATCAATTTTATTAGTGGAATAAAAAGTTAACAACATTTAATTCCACTATCAAATCTCTTTAGTTACCGCACTTTTATAATTCATAACTTTAAGTTGTTAATTATAAAAGTGGTTTAATTTGAAAAACTGAAAAATTTATAGTTTAAGAACTGCTACTTCCTTTAAAATGTAGTCATTTTTGTTGTTTTGTATCCATCAAAACACTATTGGTAGGGGAGTGTGGAGAAGTTGGACACGCAAAATTTAGATTTTTTTATGGTAATTGAAATATCTTTTTTATTTGATGTATAAAATGAACCAAACACGTTTTTACAAATAAACCTTCTTTTTAGACACCAACTCAATCCCCTTAGGTTTCCAGCCAATTATAACTAAGTATATAAATTTTTGCTTTTAGAGAAACCGTGCCATTGGGGTAATGTGGGACAAGTGTGAGTAAAAGTGGGACAAATAAATTTAAAACAACATTTTAACACAAATTATTAAATAGAAACTGATAATATCTTAAAATGACCTAATCGACATAAAATTGTTCAAGAGCTTTCACCAATTGAAATAATCAAATAACTTTTGAATGGCATGCACATATATTTGCCGATATGTGCATAAGTTCAGAACCCTACTATTTATTTTTCAGAAATCATTGACCTTGACTTGGACAAAATTCAAAAAACTAAAATTTAGTTAAGGCTAACCGCGAAATTGAACTATACTAATGTGTAATCATTAAGAAATTGAACCACCCTAATGTGTAGTCATTAAGAAATTAAACCACCCTAACAGTCTTCTCCGTTTGAAATTTACCGCCAGCGCACGAAAAAGTGTTGGCCGGACAGTAGTTATTTGTCTGTTACATGTGCAATTTTAAAAAATGATTGTTTTTTTGTACCTCTTAAATTAGAATTTGATTAAGAAAAAAGATTTGTTACAATTTAAAAACACACTTGAAACTTTTTGACTAGCGCTTAAAAAAGCGCCAGACGTAGTATTGGCGGGCATGTTGGCGAGCGCAAAACTGCAAGCGCGCGAAAACGCTTGTAAAATGGAGGAGACTGCTCTAATGTGTAATCATTAAGAAATTAAACTACTTTAATGTTTAGTCATTAAGAAATCGAACCACCCTAATGTGTAGTCATTAAAAAGTTGAATCACCCTAATGTAAAATCATTAAGAAATTGGACCACCTTAGTGTTTAGTCGTTAAGAAATTGAACTTTTTATAGCAAATATACCAATTAAATATTAAAACTAAATTAATATTCATTCAAAAGTAATTCAAAATTAATACTTTTTCAAAATTTTATAACCCAAATTTTATTCTAAAAATTTTATTACCAAGTATTAATCGAACAGTAGCTGCATCAGCATAAGATGCTGCCCAATGTAGTACTGTGTTTCCAGACATTGCTCCATCATTAGAGTTGACTTTAATCCCACATCGTAGGAGCTGCTCCACTCTGAATATTCTAAAAATATTTATATTCTAAAAAAATTTATTTATTAGGTATTGCCCATAAAGTACGTAGGTTTGGAGGGGAAGAGGAGGTCTGCAAATGGGGTATGTGAGATGGCAGGGCTGTAGGAATATGTGGCAAAGTAAGGAAACACTAAATTAAAAAAATATATTTTACCTTGAAATAAAAAATAATGTAATAATAAAATGAAATACAAAAATTATTATCAATACTTCATATTTGCAACAAAAAAAAACATTCCTAATTTTCTTTCACCTAAGGTTCATGATGACCAGAAAAGTCAGAAAACAGTGTCAAAAATTTCAAATAATAATAAAGAAGTCAGAAATGTAAAAAAAATAATAAAAAATGGCTAACTGCAGTAACGAAAAAAAAAAATTTCAGTCAGGAAAAATTAAAACAGATTTCCATTTCAAAAGTTGAGTTACCAGAAAATAAAGAATTTTGTTAGAGAACAAGAAAACAGATAACAGAAGTCTTCAAAAACTGTAAATTGTACAAACTAGGAAAATATGAAGAGAGGAGAGAATTCCAAAGTACAGATGCGTGAGAAAAAAAAACCTGATCAATAAAAGATTGTTCTTTTTTATAATACTTTAAATCCAAATTCTACTTTTAACACTTGTAGTTAAACTGATGCATGGACAAACTACTTGTAGTTATAAACACTGATGCATGAAAAAACCATTCTACTTGGCCTGCCTATCTAACTTAAACAACTTATGGCTTAAACTTATGGCATTTCAGAGGAACAACAGTTTCTAAGAATAGTAATTAAATTGTACAAACATACACATTTTATGAAGTCTAAAAATTTACAACACAAAATATTCAAAAAATTGTCAACATATTAAACATATAAATGTTATTGCTCCTGATAAGTCCAAAGAAAATAAATTTTAAAATAGAAATGATATAGGGTGCAATTTTTGGGAAGAAGCTCTTGTACATAGAAGCATTCAAAAATAAATATTCTCACACTTTTTTAAAATTTTTAATTGTAATTCTTAGGTAATTATGTTTTTAATTAATTCTAATTATGTTTTTTACTTTTTTTTTTATTGATTATTTACTTTTATTATCATTTTATTGCTTATTGTATTTATAATAATTGCAAATTCATAAAAAATTGTCTAATTTTTCTGTTCAAGTAAACAACTTTTTTCCTGTTCCATTCAGCATAAAATTTACCATAAGAAGAAAGCCACAAGATAACAACAAGTCTGGAAACAAAACCTGTTGGAACAACCTGTTTAAAAAATAATTTTTTAAATTGTACTTGTAATATCTTTATAAAAACCAAAATGATATTTTGCCGTTCTTAACTTCTTCATTCTTGTGATGCTGCCTAATCTTGACTATTACAAATTAAAAAGTAAACAAGAATTTTAAAATACTAATTACTAAACAAGTAAAATTTAAAATTGGTGGGTGGCAAAAATGGACTTCGCACTTCACAACAGCATAGTTACTATTTCTATAAAGTGAATATTTCCATTAATTGCATTTTCTTGGTTGTTGTGCATTGTAATTAAAAAAAAAAATTAAAAAAAAGTCTTTATTTCATTTTTAAATTATTTTACTAATAACCTTTTCATCTTTTACAAAAAATTTTTTGTAAAATTTTTTTATTAGATATTCTTTATTGTTATCTAAAAATATAAAAAAATATTAGTTACCTTGACTGTGAAACAGCTTGCAACAACTCGCCAATATAAGCATTTTTCACAGATTCTGTACTACAATATTCATATGGATTTTTTCCATCATTATTTTTCAAAAGAACATTAGATCCAGCTGAAAGAAGAGCTCTAACAATGTCTGCATAACCCATCTAATTAAAAAAAGAAAATTAGATATAATCTATTGCATAAATCATATAAGTATTTTAATTTGTATAATAAGTTTTGTAAAACCTATAAAATAATGTTTTATAAAAATTTCCAAAACTTAGTTTAAAAAAAAAGTTATACTAAATTAAGACTTACTCTGGTTGCATGATGTAGAAGGGTACCAGAGTCTGTGTCCATATGACTAAGCATAATTGACAGTAAATCTATGTACTCCTCACTATCATACTTATTAGTGACTTCTTTTTTGTCTCGCTCTTCTCCATCACTATCATAAAAATCCTCCTCTCTTACTAAACAATTAAAAATAATAATGAAAAACTTTTACTATATTATAAAACTTTAAATACTTTATTATAAAAACTTATTTAAAAGCCTATATATTATTTTTTATTTTAAAAATATATTTATTTAAAAATCCTATAATACTGCCAGCCTTTTACTTTATTAAAAGATTTTTTTCTCTTTAAACTAAGTTTTTATTTAGATGACTTCTTAACTTCTTTTAGGGTATAAATCAAAACCTCTTTTGAACATTGCATAAATCAAAACTTCTTTCGGATGTTGTATAAAGATTTAAGATGTCATACTCATGTAAACACAACGTCTTTGTGATTTTTTTTGAAGAAGATTTTGGGTTGAGTAAGACAGTATTTCTATTTAAATTTCCTTTGTCACTCATTTTTATTAAATCAATAACAATAAAATTTTGAAACAATTTTTTCAAATTTTTCTATTCTAAAAGTAAAAATTTTAATTTTATCCAATACTCAATTTCTTTAATGCAAATTTAACAAAAGCTTTCTTACAAGACTGAGCTGTTGAAAGTATGTGGCGGACAATATCAGTGCGATTAGCATTAATTGCTGATTTAATATCATTAAAAGACTCCAACACAACAGGATCCACATCATCATTTAAATTTTTATCCATGACTCTTATTTATATGTTTAACTAATAAAAATCTCTAAATGAAAAATTTTAAACAAATTTTAACAGTAAATTATATATATACACACAAATACAATATACATATCATATAAAATAATATTATTCATATAAATATTATATTATTCATATTATATTCATATAGATATTATATATCATATATAAGTATATATATTCATATAAATATTAGCATCTAATATTTATATGAATATATAAGTATATATATTCATATGAATATTAGTACATATATGTATTAAATGAATGTAGACATTTAGAACTAGAATGTTATATTATCAAAATAACTTCTATACAAATAAATTCATTATATCACTTTCATTTTGTCATTTATTTTCTTCTTTTAAATAAAAAAAAAAAACTTGTCATTTCTATTATATTGTGATGCCATCTTAAATGAAAGATTGTATATAAAAACTTCTTTTCCAAAATAGATCTCTTTTATACACACTACCAACCCACAACATAAACCACCAAAGTTTGGTGGTTTAAGTTGTGATTTAAGTAAGACTTAAATCTAAAGTGAAAAATGTCTAGATAGGCAGTAAATATGTTTAAAGATTGATAATAGAAAAAAATATATTGATACTTTTCTTCATTACTATTTTTTTTCTAAAAAACTTAGGTCTGCACTTAAACACACACAAAAAAATGCAGACTAAATCCACAACAATTATATGTATGCGTGTGTACATTTCCAAAATATTCTACAGGATAGGTGCAAAATTAAATTTATTTAATACCAAATAAAATAACATAATGTCACATTAAACATTAAACAAAACTTACTATGCAACAAAAAGCTCACTCTGCTACAAAAGATATAAATGTTGTAACCTGAAGCACCTGATTTCAAAACTGGCCTGAGTAATTTCTATACATATAGTTTTCTTAGCTACAGTAGAAACAGAGTGATGATGTCATTAAGATTCATTATTTTCTTAATAAAAGTCTTTCTAAATTTTCTTAATAAGTCTTAATAAGTCTTTAAGTTTTTCTAAATAATTGTTTCTAATTAAATTTAGACAAATATCCCATTAAAGACTTGTTATTTGTTAGCAAATATCCCATTAAAGACTTGAAATATTACCTTGATCAGCTTTTCCATTGGTATTCAACTAATCTATCTGCAGAAGTTTGCTAAATTCTCACATTGTGGCTAGGTCTCACCTTCCTTGATATCTTTGCACAATGTACAAAATTTCCTGGTAAAATCATCAGACAAGTTACCAAGGTTTTCTGGAAAGAAATCAAGATGAGAATGCAGAGAATTGAGTTTTAGAAACATATTATATCACTTGGAATTGTAGTGATGAAGATGATCATTTATAATATCAAACAAAATTATCTGATTTGTGAAATCCCAGAAAATTAGATGTTATTAACTCAAAAACAGACAGGTAGCAAGTTCAGTGTGCTTTTTGGGTGTTAAAACACTGATCTGTGTTTTTAAAAAAGTGTTGAATCTGATCTGTGGACCAGTAAAAAAATCAACACTCAACTTGGTCACACTGATGCTTTGGAATTTGAGACATATATGTTGAAATCCTGGCTCATCTTTATATTTATGTTTGAACAAACCTTTTTATAAGACTTAATTCAATATGCAAAGCTTGTATAATTATAATGGACAGATCAACCAAAAGCAAATCTTTGATATTGCGGATGCCAGGAGTAAACTCTTTCCTAGCATTCTCTGCAGTTATAGTAGTTGGCGATATTTCTACTATCCGAAAGGTAAATACTACATGCTTTGTTCACCATTTGCCTATACCACTGATTACACATGATCAAGCACACATGGTTACAATGTATTTTAAAATCCTGAACTGATATGATTTTGGTGCCCAAAAATAAATTTAAAACAAATTTTTTTAATTTTAAAATTAAAAAACAAACATTCTATTCAAATAGAAATTTTTTTTGTTGCATATTGCTATTAGCTATTAGAAACAATTAAAATATTAGTATTTACTATTAATATTGAAAAAACCTCATGTAAATTTTGTTAGTATTCTACAAATAGAGTGCTATACATAAATATATATATATATATATATATATATATATATATATATATATATATATATATATATATATATACACACACACACATATATATATATATATATATATATATATATATATATATATATATATATATATATATATATATTTAGAATTTTTTTATTTTTATCTAAAAAATAAAAGATATTTCAGTCTATTAGATTCTGTAATTTTTAAAAAATGATAAAATCTATAAAGCACAAATTGATTCTGTGGTTTTAAAAAAATGATAATATATATATATATATATATATATATATATATATATATATATATATATATATATATATATATATATATATATTATCATTTTTTAAAAACCATATATCAGTTATCAGAAGTAGGTTCAGTATTCAGCAATGCCAGTGTTTGAGGTCGGCAAATAAATTCCAACCTCATTTCTATGTTTAATGGTTTTTATCAACCCTTTTGTGTCAATTTTTTTTTTTGCTCATTTGATGGCAACCTCTAAAAGTTTGAGGTTAACAATTTATTGTCAACCTCATTTTTCTTAATTCTGAGAGTTGATCCGAGGGCTAATATACATATATGTGCATATATATATATGTGTGCATATATATATTATGTGTGCATATATATATATTATATGTGCATATATATGTTGGTTCTGAAAACAACTTTTTTTTCAAATGACTGTTGGCATCCCCTGAATATGTTGTATATAATAAAAAAAAGCTGGATTTAAAAACTTTTTGAATAAAAAGTATTTTAAGGGGTTGCAACCAACCCTTAAACATTAAATAGGTCCCTAATATTATTTAAAAAAAAAATTTTATGTTGGTAAGTATGTCATGTTGGGTCTCAAATGAAGCAAAATTATATAAAAATTTCAAAAATAATATTCATTTTATAAAAAAACATTGACAAAAAATTATGAAAATAATTACGTAATAATTAAAAAAACAAAATACCCTATTTTTCATTTTTAGTTAAAAAAAAATGTAATTTTCCGTTAACTAAAATCTAAAATAAAAATTTAATTATAAAATGATTAATGATTTTGAAATTATTATATAATTTCGCTTCCTTTAAGACCCAAAATGACATACTTTTAAAAACCCTTATTTTTTCAAAAAATATTTGCAACTTATTTATTGTTCAAGGGTTGGTAGCAACCCCTTAAAAAATTTATTATTCAAAAAGTTTTTAAATAAGGCATTTGTTTATTGTATACAACATATTCAGGGGGTGCCAGCAGTCATTTTCAAAAAAATTTGAAAATGACTGCTGTTAACAAAGTGTTAAAAACTTCACTTCCAACAAGGTTGCAAGCAACCACTATTAGAGTTAAAAGTTACTGGAAGAGAAATGATGAAATTTCTCTTCCAGTAACTTTTAACTCTAAAAGTTACTGAAAGAGAAATAATGAAAAGAGCAAGACAATGATTAACAGACAACTTAAAAGAATTCAAATTATATGAATCAGGTAAACAAGATGAAGGTAGCAAACTCCAAAATACTGATGTTCGAGGAAAAAAACTAGAAGAACAAGAATATTTAGAGAACTTAGAGACAGCCACAGTATAAGGAGACTTAATTGAATAACGAATAACACAAAAATGAATTTTAGTAGATGACAGAAGAGACGCTAGCTCTTTAGAGCAGTGCTCATTATAGTATTTATAGAAAAGATAAAGAAAAGCAACGTTACAACAATATGATAATGGTTAGAGGTTAGCTGCAAGAGCAGGTCTAACTATGTTTACAATGAGTTTTTGCGCCTTGTCTAAAAGAGAAAAGGCATCATTGGAAGATCCACCCTAGATATAGCAACAGTATTCCATACAAAGACGGATCTGGGATTTATAGAGATAAAGAATAAAATCCTGAGTAAGAAAGTGTAAGTAAAATAAAGAGATACAACCTTAGCAGATGCTAATTTTGCAATTGACTTGATATATGGTTTCTAAGACAAAATTGTAAGGAAGAGTTAATCTTAGAAGATGAAGGGTAGATGACTCATCAAGTATATTTACTGTTCATAAATATAGAAAGATCTAGATTATTGCAAAAAAAATCTAGATCTTTCTATATTTATGTTTTATCTTTAAAGAACTTTTGGAGAAGACCAGCATGCCAAACTTTATCAAAAGCTTTAGAAATGTCAAGAGCGATAGCCTTAGCCTCTTCATATCTATCTAATGCACAATACAGTTATTACCGTTAACAAATCAGCAGTAGAACAAGAAAATCAAAATCCATATTAATGATCAGAAAGTAAGTTATTAAATTTAAGATAAGAGATTGAATGTTTGTTAATTAAAGACTAAAAACTTTGCTTATGATAGCAAGAAGACTAATGGGATGGTAGTTAGACAAGTCAGATCACTCTCCAGAATATTTGAAAATAGGGATAACAGATGCTGCTTTCTGACTGGAAAACAAGAAGATAATTTTAAATAAACGACAGCTTCGAAGAACATTTCTGCAAGACAATAACAGGTATGTTGTCCAGACCA